TTTACTGAATAACTTATTGATAAATAATTTATTTTTCGCCACGAAGTCTTCTTGTCATTGATGTGTTTCAGTGTGATTAAAATAAAAGAGGTTGTTGAAGCGTATTTTTTTCTATAATGTTCGATTTTCAAATGGAATGGGCTCAGACTCCATTTTTTAAAACTTTAACTTAATTTTACATTTACTTTTCGGTCATTTAAAGGTTAATGTAGAAAGGGAACTTGTCCCATTCATTTTCAAAAATCATTTTGTGTGGCTCCAAAAAACCAGTTTTCCACTAAATATGCTTTACAAAATTTTAAAACAAATCACCAACCAATGCCATTTAATAAAATAAATGAATCAAATATGTTGAAAATGCCATTCCTGAAAACTTTATTTTAGAAAAATATAACTTTTCCATGAACTTTAAAGATTGAGAAATTTATTATCTCAGAGCGGGTGATTGTCCCCGCCTTATACGCCCCGTTTCTTTTAAGATGTCTTTTAGGTTTCACAATAATGTGCATTATAAAACCACTATCGTTATTTTGATCTAACTTTACCATGATATTTTAGTAGGGATATTTCCTACAGCTGATTGATTGATTGTGTGTATTTTTGTCCCATTCGAGAATTTCCTACAGTTGAAGTCAAGCTTTTATCATTTAAAATTTACAGCATACCACCGACAAACATTTATCTGCTTTTATATACATTGTACATCAGTTTGCATTGGTCTATAATTCTTACCCAATTTGATCTTCCCCTTAAATCCTTCTCCCAAGCAGAATAACATGTTATATACTTTTATCATATCTCTACTGATTTTTTCCCTATAGAACATTAGATCGTTAGATGTGACTAATTCCCTAGAAATCGTAATGAATGGATTAGTCCCCGTGCGTTAGTCAAGTGAGCTAATCCCTGCTTCGAAAGCTAATTCCCGGTTATCCGTAATCCTCTAGATTTTACTTTTACATTGGTATGATATGTGAATCGACTAATCCCCGTGTGTTAGTTAGTTAGTGAAATCATGCTATCTGAATCCTCTAACTCTAAATTTTAAGTTTTTATCAGTATAATAAAACAGTTAAAAGTATATCATTGCGGGAGTTAGCAAGATTTCAGTCCCTCTCGACCAGGACTATTTCCCTCGGCTTCGCCTCGGGAAATAGTCTTGGCCTTAGGGAACTGGAATCTTGCTAACTCCCTCAGTGGTATATTTTAACTGTATAAGTATCCATCGTTCTGGTCATGAAAATCATTTCTAGATATTTAATACTGCAAAAGTTATGTAGTTTTATTCTGCAATCTAACGAAAAAATAAACATATACAAAGAAAATTAAATTTCTGTTTATTTCAAAAATAAAAATCATCACAAATTGTGCTCATTCAAAATTCAGTCAAAATATGATCTATTCATGTAGCTTACATTACATTAGAAATTCAAACACATGCAAGTTTATCAATAGAGGTTGATATAATATTATATTTAGCAATGTTTTAATAATTATATACACATCATAAAAAAGTGTCTTTTTATATTATGCTCACACATAGCAAGAGGCTACTCTAACTTACACAGTAAGTCAACACTCTTCTAAACTAACTCAACATGAAAACACATAATGAGCTACACTACTTACACACATATTGAGTCACTACATGACTATTACACATAAAAGTAACAATATTAGCACACAAAATGAGCTACATGTACACTACCGCAAGTAAAATTCTACATTCCCAACACAAAATGAATCCCATGCTACATGTACAACAAACAAATCAAAATAACAATACAAAATATGTATTACAAATACTTGTAACAATATTAAAACACACAATGAGCTATACCAGTAACACACATAAAATTATACATTCCCAACAAATGAGTCACCATACTACATGTACAACTCACATAACAAATAACAAAAGTACCACACATAATAAGCTACACTACTAACACACATGTCAAGTCACTACAGAACTAACACACATGTCAAGTAACTACACTACTAACACACATGTCAAGACACTACACTACTTACACACATGTTGAGTCACTACACTACTGATATATACCTTACAAATAACAATTTTAAATCACACGATGAGCAATACAAGTAACACACGTAAAATTATACATTCCCAACACACGAGTCACCATACTACATGTACGATTCACATTACAAATAACAAAATTACCACACATAATAAGCTACACTACTAACACACATGTTGATTCACTACACTACTAACACACATGTCGAGTCACTACACTTCTAATATATAACTTACAAATAACAGTTTTAAATCGCACGATGAGTTATACAAGTAACACATTTAAAATTATACAATCCCGACACACTACCATACTACATGTACAACTCACATAACAAATAACAAAATTACCACACATCATAAGCTACACTCATAAAACACATGCCGAGTCACTACACTACTTACACACATGTTGAGTCACTACACTACTTACACACATATCGAGTCACTACACTTCTAATATATACCTTACAAATAACAGTTTTAAATCGCGCAATGAGTTATACAAGTAACACATTTAATATTATACAATCCCGACACACCAGTCACCATACTACATGTACAACTCACATAACAAATAACAAAATTACCACACATCATAAGCTACACTCATAACACACATGTCGAGTCACTACACTACTTACACACATGTCGAGTCACTACACTACTTACACACATGTCGAGAAATTCGCTGGATTAGACGACATTCCGGATTAGACAACATTTAAAACAATTGAGTCTACTGCAGGTGACTTAAAGTTAACATTGTATAAGTCAAGTTTTTGGAGTACACAACATCCGAATAAGACAAGTTTCACTGTATATTACAAATAACAATATAAGAACACATGAGGAGCTTTACCAATAACACACATAAAATCACATATTCCCAACACGTAATGAGTCAACATACTACATGTACAACACACATAACAAATAACAAAATTACCACACATAAAAAACTACACTACAAACACACATGTCGAGTCACTACACTACTAACACACATGTCGAGTCACTACACTTCTAATATATACATTACAAATAACAACATTAAATCACATGATGAGCTATACCAGTAACACATAAAACAAGAAGTCTGTGAGCCAATGCTCACTGGTAATACCTCTGCTGTGATTTGAATATACACTATCATGTGTATATTCACAAGTTCAACTATGGACAGATGCATGAATAAACAGGAGGTTGACATCAGATTCATACAAAAATGAATCCCACCATATGACAATTATGCGTCAACAAAGAGTGTGCTAAAATTTCAAGCATCTGCAATGAGTTGTTGCTGAGAAAACTTTGACATAAATTTGTTCCATATTATACAGACAGACGCACAGTTAAGCAGGAAGCTGACATCAAATTCAGAAATGAATCCCATCATATGGCATGCCTAAACAAAGAGTGTGTAAACTTTCATGCATCTGCAATTAGTAGTTGATGAGAAACTGCAACAAATATTTGTTATATATGGTATAGACAGACACACAGATAAACAGGAAGTTGACATCAGACTTGTACAAAAAAAATCCCACGATGTGGCATGCCAAAATAAAGAATGTGCTAAAATTTCAAGCATCTGCTCTGAGTAATTGCTGAAAAAACTGCGAAAAAAATTCGTTATGTATGGTACGGACAGACGCACAGATAAAAAGGAAGTTGGCATCAAATTCATACAAAAATGAATCCCACCATATGACATGCCTCAGCAATGAGTGTGCTAAAATTTCAAGCAATAAGTAGTTGCTTAGAAAACTGCGACGAAAATGTGTTATGTGTGGTATGGACAGACACATGGATAAACAGGAAGTTGACATCAGATTTGTATGAAAATGATTCCCACCAAGCCTAAACAAAGAGTATGCTAAAATTTCAAGCATCTGCAATGAGTAGTTGCTGAGAAAACTGTGACCAAAACTTTGTTATGGACAGTCAGACAGACACACACACAGCTAGGCAGACAAGGGTAAAACAGTATCTTTTGGAGCAAGAATATAATAATACATTCCCAACACATGAGTCACCATACTACATGTACAACACACATAACAAATAACAAAATTACCACACATAATAAGCTACACTACTAACACACGTCGAGTCACTACACTACTAACACACATGTCGAGTCACTACACTACTAACACACATGTCGAGTCACTACACTAATAAAATATACATTACAAAAAAAATTATTAAAACACACAATGAGCTATACCAGTAACACACATCAAATTAAAATATACTTTCCCAACACATGAGTTGCCATACTACATATACAACAACCATAACAAATAACAAAAATACCACATATAATAAGCTACACTTCAAACACACATGTCGAGTCACTACACTACTAACACACATGTCATGTCACTACACACTAACATACTTGTGGAGTCACTACAATACTAATATATACACTACAGATAACTATATTAAAACACACACAATGAGTTATACAAGTAACACACATAAAATTATACATTCCCAACACATGAGTCACCATACTACATGTACAACTCACATAACAAATAACAAAATTACCACACATAATAAGCTACACTACTAACACACATGTCGAGTCACTACACTACTAACACACATGTCGAGTCACTTTACTACTAATATATACATTACAAATAACCATTTTAAATCACACGATGAGGCATATCAGTAACATACATAAAATTATACATTCCTAACACATATGAGTCACCATACTACATACGTACACAAAATAACCACACATCATAAGCTACACTCATAACACACATGTCGAGTCACTACACTACTTACACACATGTCGAGTCACTACACTACTAATATACAAAAAACAATATTTACACACATTATGAGTTATACCAGTAACACACATGAAATTATACATTAATTCCCAACACATGAGTCACCATACTATATGTACTATAATCATACATGTAAAACAAATAACAAAATTACCACACATAACGAGCTATACTACTAACACACATTTCAAGTCACTACACTACCATTCATATAATGTTATATATAAATGAGGTCATATAAGGAGTCAATACATTTACAATAGAGTCAACATGCTCCTAAAACACACTTATATTAGGTCGTTATAGCACTTGTCACATGTACTAGCACATGAATCACTATTATGACAAAAGAATTCTTTAGATGTACATGTAGTTGTTATTTAATCTTTGTCTAGCTGTTATGATATTTTAACAGGAAATTTTATACTCTTTCCTGCAAATTCAAAGATTGTTCTGCTTTCTGGAGGGGCATTCAAACACTTCAATTGACCATGTTTAAGTCATACTGACTTATTCCACTCCACATTGGCACTCTATGGCTGTTTTTCTTTTGTCCACACATCTTACAAATGGAACTGAAATACATAATTACATAATAGAACCATTAAAGCTTTTACATAAAAATGAAATAAATATATATCAGTGATCAAGTTTCCAATCTTAATTAAGACACAACAACACTTCTTTAAAAGCAAAAGGACAAGAATAAATTTTAAAATTAAAATTCCTAAAACAGCTAGTTAACATTTTGTGTATTTGATTTGTATTACATGATTATCCTTTAGAACTTGCTAGCTTTTTGAATTACTGTAAATGTATAATATTTAGCGTGTACGATATTTGGCAGAAGTTGATTATTGAGCAAGTTAGCGGAGATTTGATTTAGAGCATTTGTTAATGTTCTTCTTTATGTGTATTTGTGCAAGACATTTAGCGTTGTACTTGAATTAGCGGACATTGCTTTCCGACAAAGGCACTAAAAAGAATACACAGCGAAAAGTATATTCACAACTTAACAAACACTTTCTGAAATTTTGAGTTATCCTTTTCTTTTGTCCTTGCCTTTATGGTTTCCTATCAAGCTTTCCAGTTTAAAGTGCCAAACTTTAATCTCATCTTGTTCTATAATTTACATATCAAAAGATTGGAATCTTTATAGTTAGGACTATATAAGTACTCACAACAGAATACATGCATCTAGACAAATAAGGATTTTTTCAAAATGAAAACATGTATCCAAGCAAGTCACTTATAAGAATATTATAAATGAAAACATTCAACAAGCTACACAAATTAGATTCATTTAGCTTTTCCTGTATATTTATCTGTCTCTCATTAGTAACATATATTAATAAATGGAGTAAAATGAAAGACCTAATTTTATTTACACTAAAAGTCTACCAAGTAACAGTAATATGTAATAATTAGTTTTACATGTTTCATAATGTGCATAAGGAGATGGGTGAACAAGGCATGCAAAAAGCCTATAGCTTCAAATGTATAAAAGTCATATTCAAATACTGAGTTTAGTATTTAGAGTAAAGTTCTTCTTATTGAAAGGTATAACATTATATTACAAACAAAACTTTTCTGTGGAAAATTCTTTAAGCAAAAATCATTCTATGATAAAAAAAAAAAAAGTGGTATTCTAGGGGTTGAAACCCAAGCAATGAAATTAAATCCTGAATATCAGTTTTTTTTCTAAGAGACTAACATGCTAACCACTAAACTACATACATGTAGTTCATGACAAAAATGGGCATTTACATATGTAAATCACGTTTAAAAATGTGGCTCTTGACTAAATGGATTTCAAATATATTTCTGAAAGATATGCAGGGTTTGACACTAAGGCACGTCTGACTGACCCAGTCTAGTAAATGCATGGTCCGTCATGTTAAATGTTCAATAACTTGCCCGACTGGTTGTGTGGATGAAATAAATGTTAACTCTCATTTCAGTCTTTCAAATAAATGCTCTGACTAAAAACTTTTTAAAGAAATTTTCTTAATTTTCAGATTGCAAACACAGCCATTGCTCTGAAAAAGAAAACTTTCCTGCATGACACAATTGCTATTTTTTTTAGACCGGCTGTAATAGACAAGTCACAATCGAAACCTCAGCTTTGTTCAGTATCATTTGGTATAAATATTCATTGATTATTATAGTTTTTAATTTATTTACATGTATATTTACGGTAATAATTTTATTTAAGTTCCTTGAATTAATGTTCTTTAAAGCTTATAACATTAGCATGTTCACTCATTGGGCTGCTACCTATGGGCTCAACAGTCTGTCAAAATGTATACATGAACACATGCGAGAGATACACTGTAGTATGGTTTCAAAACTTTTTTCCAATTATAATAGGAGGTTATAAATAGAAAATTTTCAAGTTTGGTCAGGGCTAGTGAATTTATGGTCAGAGCTAGTAAAAATTATGGGAAGTAGCACAACTGAACTAGTACTCATAAAAGTTAATGTCAAACCATGATATGAATGTTGTTGTGACTAGTGGTGTTCCAATCATCGATTATAATCGAAAATCAGTCGATTGCTGGCATAATCCAAGCACTCGATTACAAATTTTTTATTCTGATTAATCGGGTTATTTATTTTATTTTAAAAGCGTAATAGTTTTTAAGCCAAATATTCCAGCCGCAACTTTTCTATTAACTTATATGCATATCGTAATGGCACAGACAAAGAGACATTGTATTCATACCCGGGTAACAACGCTCATTCCTAAGTATGGACGTACTTTGGATTCTACAAAATGAGCGTAGAACCAGCTTGACTAGATAGAACATTCTGTCATTAAAATAATATTGTCCTAAGGACTAGGGGTTGTTCCGAGACACAGTTATTCCAACTACAGCTGGACCACCACAGAAAGTAGTTATTCAACCATTCTTACCATTTAATAAACTAAAATTGACAGACTTTGTAAATGTCCGATTATAATTGATAATTAGTTAGTTACAGTAGCCTGATCATCGATTATGAAATTCTTACCAATTCCCATCACTAGTTGTGACATAAAAGTCTATTTTTAGAAGAGTTGGTCATTTCACCATGTTTTTGTCAAACGAAATAGGAAAAGTTTTAAATATGCTTCGAGTATAATCTTACCAAAATATGGAGTGAAGACCTACTCATATTTAAAAAGTATGATATAGGAGGAAAAAATGACCATTTTTGCCCTCTTTTGGTGTGTATCTGCTATTTCATAGATCAATAATATTAATCGTAAAGTATGATATAGGAGGAAAAAATGACCATTTTTGCCCTCTTTTGGTGTGTATCTGCTATTTCATAGATCAATAATATTAATCGTTATAAGATTGTAGCAAATTGCAAAGATTTTACATAATGTATACAATAATGTTACATGAAGTATCAAAGAAAATTTTGACATGATTAAGATTTAACTTTTTACATCTTTTTTTGTCACACAATAGGCATTTACTTGCCTTGTTTGCCCATCATCTTTATCAGTAGATAAAGTTTATGATTCAGACGGCATCTGATAATGCAGCAATAAAATGTAAAATGATATAAATAACTGCTCTATGCTCACTTTTTTCCTCCCAGAGCTCTTCTTTTCATCTTCAATTTCTTCCTCTTCATTTCCTCAACTTTTTCTTCTATTGCAAGTTCTGTAAAAAAAAAAATCCAATTCGATAAACTACTAAACTGACAAAAACTCAATTTGTCAAGTTTCGGATTTTACCAGATTCATGAAAAATCTTGGCATACTGAACCTTTTTAGTGATTTATCTGAGAAAAGAGTGGTTAGTAACTTATTCGTTTTCATGTACCTGCTTGACTTCGACAGAAACGTTTTGGTACTAGAATGTGAAATACATACTTTTGTTATTACCTAAAATATTTCCATGACCTCAAATTCACCTATATTTCTTGCTGCTATTAAAGCCTGGTCAAGAAATAACGTTTCCCCTATAACAGGCATCAATTAACAAGGTTATGATTCAAAGTTTCAAAGTGTGCAGCTTAATTCACACAAAAGAAAAAAAAAACATGACTGAACAGATTTACAAGTACTTGCAAAGAAGACTAGAAATATGTCTTGATCGACATTTTCAGCCTAAGGTAAAGTCAGGGCATAGTCATGTAACATGTAACATTTTTCATGATGAATTACCTATATACAGTCCAATCTCATTATCTTAAACTAGATGACACAAAGTAAAAAAAAATAAAGATGTTCCTGGGTTCCAGTAAAGAGTACTCAAATACCACTTAATCATACAGTGAAACCTGTGTAATCCGACATACACTGGGAGACAAACGTTTTGTCGGAATAGATAGGGCGTCGTATTGATCAGTGTAAAAAAACATAGAAAAAAGTAAAATGGGAATGAAATTTAACGTTGGAATTTACAGTGTGACGGATTGCACAGGTGTCAGATTAGACAGTTTTCACTGTACAATCATATAATTATGGAGATAACGAAGCTCAAGAGTCCATAGAAAAAATACAAATCAGGAGCAAACACGGACCACTAAAAACATCAGAGGTGGGATCAGGTGCAATATAGGAGTAAACATCCTCTGCCAATCATTCACATTTGATGTGTGCTCCTTGTCATGATCGGGAAAACAGAAAAGTCTGTAGACAATTCAATGTGTAAACAGACAATTCAATGTGTAAATAATGGCCAAACAATTAGTATTAAAAACATCAGTCCACATTCGACTTACATGTAATGAAAGATTGTTTTTGCTGACAAGGTCATTGTATCGACCATAGCTAATTACACACATGCAAGTCACTACATCCAGTCAAAGTTGATGTTTTGATATTTTTTCTCAAAATATTTATGAAAGAATAAGATAAGTACAGGGTAATTTTGTTGACTTGAAGAAATACATTGATGGGGAAGGGGGGGGGTATTGTGATAATAATTACCTAGTCCTTTTTCATTCTGCCTTTTTCTTTATTTCTTTCCCTTTCTCTTCCGTTCCACCCTCTGGCTCATTATCTTCCATCACTTCATCCCTCTCAGAAATGGTTTCCAGTACAGATAAAGTGGTTGATGAATGACTTACTCAAAATTATGGACCCATGATATAGATGTTGTAATAATGTTACATGACACACACTGCAAGTCACTGTGCCCTGTAAAAATTGTTACCTTCTTCATTTATATTTAAGGATCAAGAACTAAATAAGAATTCATTCTTAAGTTTTACAAAAAAACTATATAAATCAGGATTTGAGAGGGCTTTGTAAAAATACTGTGAGATACATAATGTAATAACCTTGTCCTTTCTTCACCTTGTCCTCCTTGTTCTTCAGCTTTTCCTCCACTTCCTCATCTTCCTTCATTAAATCTTCCCTAGTAGCTGCTTCTAGTAGAAATAAATACCAATAAAATAAATTAAAAAAATCTTGACTCAAGAAACAGTAATGGTTACACATATTATAAAAAAAGAACATTCTTAGAATATTTGTGAAGAACTAAATAAGTATTTTAGCTAATTAAAGTAAAAGACATTCCTATCAAATAGAAAACAAGAAGTCTGTGATCGAGCCAATGCTCACTAGTAATTATAATTCCCGCACTGATTTGAATTTGGTACGGACAAGCACAGGGGTAAACAGGAAGTTGACGTCAAATTCATACAAAAATGAATCCCACCATATGGCATGCCTAAACAATTTAAAAGTGTGCTAAACTTTCAAGCATCATCCTTAACAGTTGTTGAGAAAACTGTGATGGAAATTTAGTACGGACAGATGGAGGGATAACCAGGAAGTTAACATGGGATTCCTACAAAAATACATCCTACCATATGGCATGCCTAAACAGAGAGCGTGCTAATATATTAAGCACCTTCGATGAGTAGTTGCTGAGAAAAGTGCAACAGAAATTTGGTAAGGACATGGATAAAATAAATATGACTAATTTAAATCATGTTTCTGTCATTCCATGTAAACTTTGATCCTCTTCTGTGGCCCTACGCTACCCCTAGGGTCCATGAATTGAACAAACTTGAATCTACACTACTGGTATTTCAGGAAGCTTTCAAATACATGCAAGTTTCTCAATTAATGCAAAATTGGTTATTTTCACTGGTTTAAATTTTCATGATTTGAGGGGATTTAATTTGTGGTTGAAAAAAAAAACAACATATGACACCATATCATAAAATTTCGATATTTGGTTTCACTACAATGTATACTAGTAGCTTAACACTGGAGGTTTTTTTTTTATTTTGCCTACCATGAAATGAGACCTTGATTTTTAAGGTTTCATTTAAAATACATGCATCTTTCACTTATAGAGTCACAGCTTAGTAATCGAACAATCTCATTACCTATTTCAAACATCTTGGATTGACAAGGTGCTAGGAACAAGAATTGAACAGGGACCTATTGATTATAATGCGAGTACCGACAACAACTACCGTCTAGGCTACTGTGATTTGTCAGTTTCAGGAATTAAGATAAGGGATATCAATAATGAACACTTAAGTAATTATTGCAAAATATAAAGTCTAAACATTTCGGAAAGACTATGAATTTTAAATTAATTCTACTGATTTAGTTAAAAGTTTTTGTTAGAGACTGATAAAGGAGACTTAAATTTTCAATTCAACTTTCCAGCATCATGTTTTATACAGTGTAAGCATGGCCTGACTAAATATATGCCTGAGATATTTTAATGTCAGGGTTCAACACTAATGTTAGTCCGTTAGTCTGATCAGACTAATACATTTTCATTTGGACTAATAAAATCTGTCGCTAGTAAGTCCCAACAGACCAATAAAAATTTCTGGAGAACAAAATGAATAAATTACGATTTTCAACAACATATACTAGAAAACCCTGCATGTATTTTTAGCTTTCTAGCATCTTAGCAGGTAGTAAGGTAATTCTGAGTCAAGTTGGCACTTAATTTTACGACTGACTGATGTGAAATTAAACATTTTAGTGATTATGATTTAGTCCTGTACAAACAATTAAGGTGGATTCCGCCCAGAATTTCGTTGGACACCAAGGGTATTCCACCGAATCCACAAATTCCAGGCTCTCAGAGATTCCGCCTAAATTTAACAGATTCCAGTCATCAAATTCTAGGCTGAATTTAGTTCAGTGGGAAAATAGCTGGAAATTATAAAAAGAAATATTTTGGACAGTTTAAATGGAATCTATATTCAGGCGGAATCCTGTTATTTCAATTCTAGGTGGAATTTCAATTTCCATGCAGGCAGAATGTCAATTTCCAGGCGGAACTAATTACATTTTCGCCTCAAATTTCCAGCTAGTCTCCGCTTGGTTAACGCTTGGTTTCTGCTTATATTGCTTTAACATTTATAGTAAGTTTTACGCCTGGAATTTTACTGAGAATTCTGTCTTGATTATGCCTTTTTCCAGGTGGAACATTTTGTACAGGGTATGATACATAAAGATGTCAAACGTTTTGAGTATAATGAACGAGATCAGGAATATGCTCATACTTCCTGCATGATCACGAGATTTTAAACAAGAGGCCCAGGGGCCACATCGCTCACCTGAGCACTATGGCTAGGAAAAAGCAGAATTCAGTTCAGTCTTGAAAGGTTGAAAAGTTTAAATAAAAAAGTGGTTCGGGGGGGGGGGGGGGGGGGGGGGGTCATGAATTGAACAAATTTGAATCTACATTATCTGAGGATGCTTCCATTTAAATATGACCAAACATGACTTTGCTGTTCTTGAGTAGAAGATTTTTAAAGATTTAACCTATGTATTCCTATGTAAAACTTTGATCGCCCATTGTGGCCCCACCCGACCCCCGGGGGTCATGATTTGAACAAACTTGAATCTACACTATCTGAGGAGGCTACCATATAAATATGACCAATCATGGCTTTGCTGTTCTTGAGAAGAAGATTTTTAAAGATTATTCCTATATATTCCTATGTAAAATTTTGATCGCCCATTGTGGCCCCACCCGACCCCCAGGGGTCATGATTTGAACAAACTTGAAACTACACTACCTGAGGATGCTTCCACATAAGTTTCATATTTTCAAGCACAGTGGTTCTTGAGAAGAAGATTTTTTAATGATGCCATTAATTTTTCACAAATTCTTAATTATCTCCCCTTGGAAGAAGGCGTGGCCCTTCATTTGAACAAACTTGAATCCCCTTTACCCAAGGATACTTTGTGCCAAGTTTGGTTGAAATTGGCCCAGTGGTTCTTGAGAAGAAGATGAAAATGTGAAAAGTTTACAACAACAATGACAACGACAACAACAACGACAGACAACGGACAAATTTTGATCAGAAAAGCTCACTTGAGCCTTTGGCTCAGGTGAGCTAAAAATCTTTGGAATAAAACACTTCATGTACTTTCAAAAAACTATAAAAAGTACATTGTAATCAGTCTTCGACAAATCCCGGGAGTCCGAAGCCCGGGACCTGGTAAAATTGGAAGGGGGCATGTGGAAATTGCATACTTACAAGCCCAAAGGGCATGTGAATTCTGAGGCCTAAGCCTCCGTATTATCAAATTAAGTAATACCAATAACATTAAATGTACTTAAAAGTCTGATTTTTCATCTGAAGTGGAGCACCAAATAAAATTTTAACGATAGTTTATTCTACCACGATTTCCAGGGAACTCTTTTGCAAAAGAAACACAAAAAGTGTACAGGTTGAAAACAATATTAATGGCTAGACAATAGATTGATAGAAATGGATTTCAGATCATTTCCTTGCCATGAAAAGGCAAATAAGAATAAAATTACTTGATAAAATTCTGGGCATGTGAATATTTGTTCGGGCTAGCATAATAAGTGGTTAAAACTGCCCGAAGGGCATGTACTGAAAAAAAGATTTGGCAAAGACTGCATTGTAATGTTTATTTTTAGATAAATCGTTACAAAACACTGATCTTTCCTTTTTTGACGGACTCATGTGAAGTAGTAAAAGAAGGACATGTTTGTTGAAACACCCTGTATTAAAGGGATTTCAATGCTTATGTACATGATGTATTTGTTTAATCATTCATCCCACCCCAAAACAAAAAAAAAAGAAGCTTTTTAAAGCAATTCTACTTACGCATTAGAAGTACTGCCATCTTTTTTCTCCTGGTGAAGATTCAAAATATAATTAAATGGGTTTGTTCACTGGCCAATAGTTTTAAACACCATCTGCAGGAACCTTGAAGTTTTCCTGTATCACCATGAACCTAAAAAAATCGATGTTATACTTCAGTATCACAAAACACCCATCCTAAAACATTCACAGACAGACATTACACACATACAAACGTTCCACGTTCCATTTATGTTCATTATTTGAAAATAATCATAAATTATGAATTTGCTTTATCTTGCACTGATTTAAGTCCCAACATTGTTTAGTTAAATAAATAATACAGTTAAAAAGCATGTTTTACTGACCATGCTGACAAATAATACATTAGACAAAATTAATACATGTATCGATCATGCTATCAATAAAATATGAAAAATGTTAGTGTGCATGTTCACACACACTTGAATAAGTTGACTGACTGCTTCCAAAGAATGTACATGTCCTCATTCATGTAATCCTGTTCCATGAAAATAGTTTTCATTTATACCCCTTCATAAAATGACACATGCATGTCACTTACATACTGCAAGACCCTGCCGGCCTGTACATTGAGTACACTACTTTCACTTTGAACTTGAACTTGACTGAATACCGATTCCGACCTCGTTTGTGAATTTTTGTGTACATATTGAATCCTTATGTAAAAATATATTCAACTTAGCTTTGAATTAATAAATAATATAAATTGACACATTAATTGAATTTATTCGCTACATACATGTAACTGTAAACAACAGGAGGTATGAGAATTAGCTGTATGTTCATAAGGGGGGAGGGGGGGGGGGTTACTCCCATATGAAATTGTCTGGGTGGTTTAAACACAGGCACAAATTTAGCTTCCATAAACCTGTAACAGACTAGCATTTCTCCTCCTATATATGTAAAATATGTATAGAAGGCCATGCGAAAAAGTGGTCAAGGCAAGAACAGGCATGGGATAATGACTGAAATATAACATATAAGTTATAACACAGTTTTACAAATAAACCCTTCACAGAAAGTTGTGCTAGGTTCCCTACATGAACTCATGGATTCTGAAAAACCTGTACCAGAAACCTGTGCCATTTTCCATATCTGGAGACCCTGATTTGGGAAACCGACCATGTCAAAAAATAACCAAATATGGAGTCATGAGATCTGCATGTGCCTTAATTAATTCATCTAGATCTGGGTTAGGATCTTGGAGAATCCCCTGATGTTGCTGTAGATGCCAAATAGAGACTGAATACAAACTTTACAATGCTTTACATTATTAATTTGATTAGTTTTAGAATTTTTAAAGTTTGAAATTAATACATGAATGAGAGTGCCACATTCATTTTTATAGAACTTATCTACACTATCATTTTAACAATTTATAGTAGTTTCTTATTAAGAATCAAATGATTCAATGCACAATTCTATAGTAATTTAACTTAATTAGGCCAAATGAAAAAAATTATGTGTTTCTGGTGACATATGCTAAAAAAAATTAGGCTAGGTAAGTAGGGAATAACTTTTTTTTTTTACTTTACTGTTAATTTTGTTTACTTGTTTGTTTGTTGTTTAATTCCCTTTCGAGAAATTTTCACTCATATGGAGATGCCACTACTTGTCGGTGGAGGGCTGCAAATTCATAGACCTATACTCCGCTCTCAGTGAGGGATCTTTTTCATGCCAGCACCTACTGCGACATAGGACCTCTGTTTATATGGTCTCATCCGAAGGACCGGTCTTCACGTCCCACAGTGGGATTCGAACCTGCAATCTAAGGATCAACTCCTTACTTCGCGACTCTAGAGCAAACACTCTAACCACTGCGTCACACAAGCAACACTTTTTATTTTGAAAGCATCAATTAATTATTCTGTACATTGTTTTTCTATCATATACATGTACATAAACATACATGTATATGAATAAACAAACAAACAAACATATATATATATATATAAAGTAGGAGTACTCTTTAAGACTCTTGGATAAACAGGTTTTTACAGTGTACGAGACATGCATTTTATGGACTGCACTATGAGAAAACTTTACTATGAACAAAAGTATGATTCAAAATCTCGATTTGGAATAAAAAGTAGTAGAGTCGGTGGGTAAAATTAGGTCAGCTTGGTTATGGGAAATACATGTTGTTGTTTTTTTTTTCAGCCTAAGTTTGTTCAATTTGAATTTAATAAAATCATAACTTTCTTTATCATGTGATGACACAAAATGAAATGAGATTGTTAACTTAGGTTAAATCATCATTGATCAACAAAGACTATTTCAATGTCTGTCAGCTTGCATTGAAACATCCAAGGATAAAGATTTCAAATGGCTTCTATATTAGACTTACTTACTTAGACTTTTAGTTCAAAAGTGACAAAATCATTCAAGTTGACCTAAGTACAATTCCAAGTGATATACATGTATATTAGTTATGTATCTTTTATAAAGTAAGAAAGACACAAGCTATATTAGCTCAGGATCATGAATCCTTCTAATCTGATTTGCACAAAGGAAGTTATGATCATGCTATGTAAAAAGCCGTGAGATTAAAAATACATGTATATAGTTTGAACCAAATCTGCCTCATTCAAATTTTGTAAGTTAGAAACTGTCTTCTTGGGACAAGTATTCCTTGCCTACACATTGATTTCTGTGCACAAGAACACCTTGCTTTCAACCTCAGATTCTGTGTCCATATCTTGGGTCTGTGGAGCCCGTACATCTTTTCTAAATTTCATATATGGGTTCCGTGCCTTAACTGTGTCTATATACACTATGTCTATTTCACCTCAAAATTTTGGAAGGACACTATATTGCGACTTGATTTGTTTTAAAATATGCACATTAAGCAAAATAAAAGTTGTGTATTTCATAGATTTCAACAATTGGAAATGATAATATTATTAAATTACAAACTTCAACTCAGCCTGAAAGTACAATTTTTTTAACAAGTAGAATTTCTCTTAGCATGCTTACCAATAGACGTACTCAATATATATGGGGTATACAGTCCACCAATACATTTGCCATAGGCGACAATTTTAACCTTTTCTCACACTGTTTAAAATCCTTGCTTTACATTTAAGGATGGAACAACTCTCAAATAACATCTCAAGGTGGAATGTCAGATTGTTTTCCGGCCAAATGCACACATTCGCAAAAAATAAACATCTGAAAATGAAAGTAATTAAAACAATAAAAGTAGAGAATTAACATTTCCAAAATCTAGGGTGTGCACATATCAAACTATACAATTCCTTTCCTTTAAAGTCGCCCGCGTGGCGCAGTGGTTAGAGCGTCTGCTCTAGAGTCGCGGAGTAAGGAGTTGATTCTTACGTCGCGGGTTCAAATCCCACTGTGGGACGTGGAGACCGGTCCTTCGGATGAGACCGTATAAACCGAGGTCCCATGTCGCAGTAGGTGCTGGCACAAAAAAGATCCCTCACTGCTCAATGGCCATAAATGCCGAGTATAGGACAAAATTTGCAGCTCTCCACCGGCAAGTGGTGGCGTCTCCATATGAGTGAAAAATTCTCGAGAGGGACGTTAAACAACATACAAACAAAACAAAGCTTTCCTTTAAAAGATATAATGTTGAAATCTTTCCAATGAACAGAGCCAAGGGAAAATTGAATGCACACTTTGGTGCTAATATGGTTGATTTAATGACCATTTTAATTTTTTTTTACTTCAGTGCAATTATCATGATTATGGTGCATGGCACAAGCCTTCAGCATATGCCAGCGAGTATGTTAATCTTTCTGTACGTCGATGCAAGTTTTTTAAGCTTTGTACATGCTGTAGTGTGGCAAAGCCTTAATTTGAAGAGGTGTGGAGCAACCTTTACATCTTTTGTGTGTGTATGTGAATTTACAAGAGTCTCACTTAGCCTATCTTCTTTTACGTGTTGGTATCACAGCTGTATCACGTATCACGCTCACAAACACCACAGTGAAAGGTTTAAAATATATGCACAACCAAACCTTTGTGAAATATCTGCACTTGACTGATATCACATGCATGACTTAATAATTTTATACGTGACTCGAATGACCTCTGATTTGTTTATCATGTAAATATTTTGAACTTGTCATTTACACCTTTATATAACGTTTCTTACTCTATACTTACCATGAGGGGTATTTACATACTAAAATAAATCACAGAATGACATCGAAGGTATAATCCAATAAGTATTTCTATGTTATTAGGTTCACAATCAAGCATCACGCCACAACAGTTACGATTAAGTAGTAATTCGTTCCGGTGATGACTCGGAATGAAATTTTACACAGAAAAAAAAAATGTTTATTACTTGAGTAAATTTGAGTAGAATAGGTTAATCAGACAATTTTTTTTTACTAGAAATAAACATGGTAAATGGAGGGGGGGGGGAGGGGGGAGGCATTAACAATGTTCAAATAGATATTTCTATATATAGTCCCTGATTAGACTAAGTGTAAAATTTATGCAGTTCTTTATATATACGATGGACAATGTTTAGCAATTCATGCACCGATCCAGTCCAGTCCACTCATATTTTTTTATTTTTATTTTTTTATTTTCTATTTATTTATTTATTTATTTATTTTTTGAGTTTTCAAATTGTAGTTTTTCTCGGGGGGGGGGGGGGGATGGACAAGTTTGCGTTTTTTAAAATTTATCTATTTATTTTTTAAGTTTTGGGTAAATTTCTCAGTTGGATTTTTTTTGGGGGGGGGGGGCATGGACCCCCCCCCCCCCCCGAAGAATTCCTGGATCATCTCCTTCTGAGGAAACAATAGTGAACATGAATCACTAACTCTAATGAATAAATAAGGTAAAGTCTTGGAAACCACATTTTACAATTACCGTAATCACACCTCATCAAGTCTAGAGACTGTAATTATTTCTTTTACATGGACAGGTAAGCAACTAATGATTAAAGTTTCCAATCTGAATACATGTACAAAAACTTGCAGATTTTCATATTTTGATTAGTTTACCAGCTTTAAGGACACATACAAGAAGAACTGAGCATACTTTATTTTTGGATGAAAGAGAACTC